GATGGAAGCCACTCCTCAATAAAAGGCACATGACAGCCCGCTTGGAGTTTGCCAAAAGGCACCTAAAGACTCTGACCATGAGAAACAAGATTCTCTGGTCTGATGAAACCAAGGTTGAAGCGTCACATCTGGAGGAAACCTGGCACCATCCCTACGGTGAAGCATGGTGGTGGCAGCATCATGCTGTGGGGTGTGGGGATGTTTTTCAGCGGCACGGACTGGGAGACTAGTCAGGATTGAGGGAAAGATGAACGGAGCAAAGTACAGAGAGATCCTTGATGAAAACCTTCTCCAGAGCAATCAGGACCTCAGACTGGGGCGAAGGTTCACCTTCCAACAGGACAACGACCCTAAACACACAGCCAAGACAATGCAGGAGTGCTTCGGGATAAGTCTCTGAATGTCCTTGAGTGGCCCAGCCAGAGCCCGTACTTGAACCCAATCGAACATCTCTGGAGAGACCTGAAAATAGCTGTGACATGCACTGTCAACTGTGGGACCTTATATAGACAGGTGTGTGCCTTTCCAAATCATGTCCAATCAATTACATTTACCACAGGTAGACTACAATCAAGTTGTAGAAACATCTCAAGGATGATCAATGGAAACAGGATGCACCTGAGCTCAATTTCGAGTCTCATAGCAAAGGGTCTGAATACTTATTTAAATAAGGTTTTTCTGTATTTTTTTGCTATGTATACATTTGCTAAAATTTCTAAAAACCTGTTTTCACTTTGTCATTATGGGGTATTGTGTGTAGATTGATGAGGATGTATATTTTTTAAATCAATTTTAGAATAAGGCTGTAACGTAACAAACTGTGGAAAAAGTCAAGGGGTCTGAATACTTTCCGAATGCACTGTATATATATATATATATGTGTATGTATGTGTGTATGTATGTATGTATGTATAAACAATTTTTTTACAGGGGGCAGTTTGGAAAAAACGTATCCCGTGCGAATAGGGCTATAGTCTTAATAATAACTCCTGCAGAATTAAACAGTTATTGCAGTAAAATTATAGGCACAATTTGGACTTGGGAACAGGAGTGGAGAAAAATGATGTATTTATTTCTGCATCTTTAGAGAATGCAATGCTCAGTTCGATACGATCAGTAGAGGTGCTGTCTTCATCATAAAAGCATCATAAAAGTATTTAAACCACATAAAATATGCATCGAAGCCGAACTGAAATATTTTCAGAAACACGTTGGGTCGTTTTCACAGCTTTCTTTTTTTGTCATTTGGACATTTAGCACAGAAAATCTTTCCAGTTTTTTTTGCTTTGTATTTTCTTCCAAGTCAATAAACGTCTTTGCTCCGCGAAAGATGACAGAGAACTTTACCGATGTCAACTAGATTGAAGAATTCATTCTATCGATTTATGACATCATTCTGTTGAGCAAGGGTTTATTTAGTCTTCTAGGGCAACATATAATGACAAGAGAAGCTGCATGTATCTAATAGCCTACCAAAATGTCAGAAATTATAAGCAGAAACGTATCAAAATCAGGGAAAACAAAATCCTGCACCCCCTATCAAAAAATCGTCTTTGACTGTAGCCTATAGCGCATTTTCTATAATTGCGGGTTAGGGTCGGGTGCGGGCCTCAGATTTTCACTTTATCACATATAGTCGGGCGGTTGCGGATGGGTTATTAGCAATTGCGGGCGGTGCGGGTGAACAAACAGCTGACCCGCACACCACTTGTGTTTGTGTGTGTGTGTGTGGAGGCAGTGGATGAAGCATGGGAGTGGGTAGTGGGCTGGGTTGTCCATGTGGAGTTGGAGGAAGGGGAATCTGGGATGGGCTGACTTTCACTGTATCCTGAGGAGAAACACACCAACACAGAATCTGGCATGCTGAAGTGCTGTTGGCATCAGAGTAGTGTTGACTAAAATGGTGATCAGTGTCCTTACAGCACAGTGTCTTCCTCACACACACACAAACACACACACAGGCAGACGTGAGTCTCTCTACCCTGTGATGACACACAGTGTCACACACACCTCTCCACCTACATAAAGTGTCTGTTGGCATGCCAGGCCTCAGCTTTACTCTAAATGCAAATGTAAGGTGATTATTCATGACAGCCTCGCTGTCACCCACCTCCACTGGGACTAAGAGAGGAAAGAAGAGGAGAGAGAGGGAAGTGATGGAGTGGAGTGGGGGAGGCAGTATGGACATATAAAGGGTTTGTCATCAGGCAGAGGTGACACAGGTTGGTTTAAAATAAAGGCATTTATTGGGAAAATGCACTTGACATGAAAAACCAACCAAACCACAAGGTCATCAATACGAGACAATGTTTAATGATCACATGGTAGAACGCTGGTAACGAGTGCAGGGTGACTGGCACCCATGGAATATAAATAATCTGCACAATATATATATATATATATATCTATATATATATTTATATATATCTCTTATTTTCTGTTACAGTAATGTAAAACTTCTCTCATAGTTAGACAGCATGAGATTCCATGCTTAACAAACCCCTTGTAAAGTAATGTCAGTGGTACAGCACTCACACCAGACGGTCCAGACAAACCAGAAACACAGTCCACCTGAACACACTGATTCATGGGAACTGGGGAGCATGAATAGCAAGATGGCTGCTGTGTGGTGTCTGGGTCATGTGGAAGTGCTCTATCTCCAACATGGAGGGCTTGTGCTTTAGCTCCATAGACAGACAGTAGAAACAGACAAACAGGCTGGCCTTATGGGTTCAGGGATGCAGCTGGCTCATCTGGGGCTAAGGGTTGTTTCTGGACCGGGCCGAAGAGTTTATCCACAGCAACAACATCAACACGTTTCACTGATACACTCGCTCTCTCTGAGGAGGAGGGGAGAGACTGGGACCCATCCAGTCCTTTCACATCAATGAGTGTGTGTGTGTGATTGTGTGTGTCGGGCCTGATGGAAAGGTTCTAATCTCATCTGAATCTCTGGGTGTTCTCATCTGTCTGTCACCCAACTCTGGGATTACCCAGACTCCCCTGCTGCTGCTACTCCAATCAGAACCAGATGGTCTCTCACATACACACACACACACACACACTTTAGGCTGTATGGATCTAGCCTGATCCCATCTGTATATGTGTTGTAACCGACTTGTTCTGGCCTTCCCAACTCTGTGTGCTTCACTATATCTTCCTGACCTGTAGACTTCTTTACTCTTCTAAACCAGTTGATCCTACTTCTGTTGGGGTACAGTTGTTGTGTGCTTAGTAAATGAGAGAGGAGCTGTGTACTTAGCCAATGAAAGAGGACCACCGTTGTGTGCTTAACCAATGAAAGAGGAGGTTTGAAGTAGATTGCCAGACGTAGGGTATGTTTAAATGAAGAACATTTGGGACCATTGGTGTGCTTTCTTTCCCAATGTAGAGCTGCCACATGGCTGGTATTACCAACTACTGTTCTCTCTCACTCGCATGCATGCACGCACACACACGCATACACACACACCGACCAGAAAGAACAGGTATCAGGTTAGCCAGGGTACTTCTGTAACCAGTACGGCCTGTTTCTAGCCATACCACACATTCATACGGACACTGATGTTTAAAACAAATACACACTGAAGCAGTAGAAAAATACTGTGTGCTGCTCGTTGTGCCTTCAGTAGTTGCTGGCGCCTCCTGATGATGTCAACATCAATAGTCATTGATGAGGTTGATGAAAGACCCCTCCCATAGCTGTCATGTGTGGAAAAAGGCCCCAGCTCCTATGAGGCTGGTTGGAGCTGGGGTGGCCGTGTGTGCAGAGATGGGCAGTATTTCTGTTACATGTATTTGAAATATGTATTTAAATGACTTCTGAGTATTTTGTCATTTGTATTACATTGGGCTGAACTACACGCCAATGTACAGTATTTTGTAATAAGATACTTTAGAGAGCTGTAATTTGTATTTTCAAAATACTTTTCTATACCATTTTTCTTATAGCAGTTCACCATTTTGTGGCCCCCTTTCACCATGCATTGGAATCATAAGTCTGGCCCCGTGTAGCTCAGTTGGTAGAATATGGCGCTTGCAATGCCAGGGTTGTGGGTTCGTTTCCCACGGGGGGCCAGTATGAAAATGTATGCACTCACTAACTGTAAGTCGCTCTGGATAAGAGCGTCTGCTAAATGACTAAAAAATTATAATAATAATAATAAAAAAAATAAAGAAAATGATGGCACTATGGTGTGATAAGATTGTCTGCTAAATGATCTAAATATAAATGTGTATGTAATAATGGACAAGTATTATTCTAATGAGCTCCGCCCTGAAACAAGGTTTCGTCTAGAAGGGATACAGCTTTTGTCAAAATTGACTTTTCGTAGCAGGTTTAGTAGAATTAACGTAGCAGGTTAGGAGAATTAGGTTAAGATGTATCCCATCTAGACATGACCCCGAAACAAGGCCAACAATAATACCTAGTGTGCTTTGCAGTTCGTTTTGGTGTGTTCATTTTCACATATATACAGTATTTTGGTCATTTAGCAGACGCTTATCCAGAGTGACTTACAGTCAGTGCATTCAACTAAGGTAGATAAACAACAACATCACAGTCATAGCAAGTAAAACGTTTCTGTAACCGTCACTGAGAATGTTGTTGCTGTTCGGGCCGGCTACTTGCAAATGTATTTTTGTATTTTAAAATACATTTGGGGATGCAGGTAAACTTGAGGTTAGAGCATTGGGCCAGTAATCAAAAGGTTTCTGGTTTGAATACCGGAGGCGACAAGGTGAAAAAATCTGTTGCTGTGCCCTTGAGCAAGTCACTTAACCCTAATTGCTCCAGGGGCGCTGTACAATGGCAACCCTGGCCGTGACCTCACTCCCTGAGGGTGTCTCAGGGGGAGTTGGGATATGGAAAAAACAAAAAATGTCCATTACACACTTTGTAATTGTATTTAGTAATTTCTGCCCATCCCTGTGTGTGTGTGTGTGTGTGTGTGTGTGTGTGTGTGTGTGTGTAGCGGTCCTATTCAGAAGATCTCTACGAAGCTGCCGGGGAAGAGGCCAGTGCGTCCAGTCCTCTGCAGAGTTCCTTTATACCAGCCATCTTCTCTCTTCTTATGAACAAACACCACGTCTCCCTGTCTCAGCTCGATCTCCGCCTCGCTCTGAGGGGGGTAGGGCACCACCACGCGATACCTAGGGAGGGAGGGAGAGGGAGTTATGAATAATGACCCACTGGGCACGACTCTATTTTTGATTTATGTACATTTGGTTGAGTTATCAACTAACTTGAATTAAATGTGAAATCAACAAAACATTTCACCATGACATTGGATTTAGGTTAAAGGTTGGCAGAGATGGGCAGTATTTCTGTTACATGTTTTTGAAATATGTATTTAAATTACTTCTGAGTATTTTGTAATTTGTATTACACTGGGCTGAACTACACTACAATGTATTTTGTAACAAGATAGTTTCGAAAGCTGTAATTTGTAGTTACAAAATACTTTTCAAAATACTTTCACCCTACATTGGTATCAGAAGTCTGATGGCACTATGGTGTGATAAGAGAGTCTGCTAAATGAACTAAATGTATATGTAAAAATGAACAATTGCAAAGCATTCTCAGTATTACTCTTATGAGCTCCGCCCCGAAAGAAGGCCAATGACAAGACCTAGTGTGCTTTGCAGTTGTTCATTTTCACATACAGTGGGGAAAAAAAGTATTTAGTCAGCCACCAATTGTGCAAGTTCTCCCACTTAAAAAGATGAGAGAGGCCTGTAATTTTCATCATAGGTACACGTCAACTACGACAGACAAAATTAGATTTTTTTCCTCCAGAAAATCACATTGTAGGATTTTTAATGAATTTATTTGCAAATTATGGTGGAAAATAAGTATTTGGTCAATAACAAATGTTTCTCAATACTTTGTTATATACCCTTTGTTGGCAATGACACAGGTCAAACGTTTTCTGTAAGTCTTCACAAGGTTTTCACACACTGTTGCTGGTATTTTGGCCCATTCCTCCATGCAGATCTCCTCTAGAGCAGTGATGTTTTGGGGCTGTCGCTGGGCAACACAGACTTTCAACTCCCTCCAAAGATTTTCTATGGGGTTGAGATCTGGAGACTGGCTAGGCCACTCCAGGACCTTGAAATGCTTCTTACGAAGCCACTCCTTCGTTGCCCGGGCGGTGTGTTTGGGATCATTGTCATGCTGAAAGACCCAGCCACGTTTCATCTTCAATGCCCTTACTGATGGAAGGAGGTTTTCACTCAAAATCTCATGATACATGGCCCCATTCATTCTTTCCTTTACACGGATCAGTCGTCCTGGTCCCTTTGCAGAAAAACAGCCCCAAAGCATGATGTTTCCACCCCCATGCTTCACAGTAGGTATGGTGTTCTTTGGATGCAACTCAGCATTCTTTGTCCTCCAAACACGACAAGTTGAGTTTTTACCAAAAAGTTCTATTTTGGTTTCATCTGACCACATGACATTCTCCCAATCCTCTTCTGGATCATCCAAATGCACTCTAGCAAACTTCAGACGGGCCTGGACATGTAGTGGCTTAAGCAAGGGGACACGTCTCGCACTGCAGGATTTGAGTTCCTGGCGGTGTAGTGTGTTACTGATGGTAGGCTTTGTTACTTTGGTCCCAGCTCTCTGCAGGTCATTCACTAGGTCCCCCCGTGTGGTTCTGGGATTTTTGCTCACCGTTCTTGTGATCATTTTGACCCCACGGGGTGAGATCTTGCGTGGAGCCCCAGATCGAGGGAGATTATCAGTGGTCTTGTATGTCTTCCATTTCCTAATAATTGCTCCCACAGTTGATTTCTTCAAACCAAGCTGCTTACCTATTGCAGATTCAGTCTTCCCAGCCTGGTGCAGGTCTACAATTTTGTTTCTGGTGTCCTTTGACAGCTCTTTGGTACTGGCCATAGTGGAGTTTGGAGTGTGACTGTTTGAGGTTGTGGACAGGTGTCTTTTATACTGATAACAAGTTCAAACAGGTGCCATTAATACAGGTAACGAGTGGAGGACAGAGGAGCCTCTTAAAGAAGAAGTTACAGGTCTGTGAGAGCCAGAAATCTTGCTTGTTTGTAGGTGACCAAATACTTATTTTCCAACATAATTTGCAAATAAATTCATTAAAAATCCTACAGTGTGATTTTCTGGAGAAAAAAAATCTCAATTTGTCTGTCATAGTTGACGTGTACCTATGATGAAAATGACAGGCCTCTCTCATCTTTTTAAGTGGGAGAACTTGCACAATTGGTGGCTGACTAAATACTTTTTTCCCCCACTGTATACTGTACATTTTACATTTTGGTCATTTAGCAGGACGCTCTTATCCAGAGTGACAGCGCACATTCAACTAAGGTAGATAAACAACGACATATCACAGTCATAGCAAGTAAAACGTTTCTGTAACCATTACTGAGAATGTTGTTGCTGTTCGGCCGGCTACTTGCACATTTATTTTCAAATACAAAATACATGTATTTAATTAAATACACAATACTTTGCAAAAGTATCTTATATTTTATTTGGATACAATGATCTTTAAGGTATTTTGTAGTTTACATTTTAGTCATTTAGCAGACGCTCTTATCCAGAGCGACTTACAGGAGCAATTAGGGTTAAGTGCCTTGCTCAAGGGCACATCGACAGATTTTTCACCTAGTCGGCTCGGGGATTAGAACCTGCGACCTTTCGGTTACTGACACAACGCTCTTAACCACTAAGCTACCTGCCAATCCAATCAGTTTTCCACATTGATTCAACGTCATCACATAAAACATTTCTTGTTGAATTTACGTGGCAACAACGTTGATTCAACCAGATTTTGCCCAATGGGGATGCATTGTAACTCATATTCGAACACATGCACACCATCAACACACACACACACACACACACACACACACACACACACTAGGAGGTGATATATGCTGCTACTCAGGTCACCATCATTCACCATCATGTGCTTGAAACATGAGGTCGGAGCAGTGTGTGTTTTTATGTTTGTGTGTGAGGTGGCGGTGTGAGAGTGTTTGTGTGTGTGTGTGTGTGTGTGTGTGGGTGTGCGTGCATCTGCATCTGTGTGACGCGGTTGCTCTCAGAGAAAAAAGAGGTCACTATTAGCTCTGACACACATTGTGCACAAACACACACACACACACACACACACACACACACCGATGGGGATAGGAGAATAATGATGATCGGGGCTCAGGTATTTCTTGTGCTGCAGTGGCGTAGAGTCGTAGAATGCAGCATATCTCAGTGATGTTTGAGGGTGTATGAGGGTGTGTAGCCATAGACGCGGGAAATCGTTTGGGGGTGCTGTGTAGTTTTCGCTGACGGGGGTGACAGAGGGGCAGAATAAAACATTTCTGCCTGCGCTACAGACGGCTATATTGGTCCTCTAATACTGGACTAGTAAAGGCCCAGTGCACTACTTTGGTGAAAAGTATTTTAATGTATATATTATTTTTATTCTGATTTTGTCAGGGAGTGCTGCAGCACCCTCAGCACCCCTACTTCTCGCGGCTATGTGAGTAGCTACAGTATGTGTATACCTCTCTCTGGACAGGGTGTGTGTATAAGAGTGTGAGTAGCTACAGTATGTGTATACCTCTCTCTGGACAGTGGTTTGGGTTCAGGCCGGAGGGCTAGCAGTGCGTTTCCGGGGCGGGTCGTCGGGGGCGACCGGGGGAAGTTGAGATCGAGGGATCCTGACTTCCTGTTCAGCGTCTCTAACCCCATTGCCCCGGCCATCTCACTCTCGATTGGACAAGACCCAGCACGCCCCTGGGCCTCCATTGGACAGGAGCCAGAGCGGGTGTGATGTGGGAGGACGGCACCCGACAACGGGAGGGTTGGTGGGGAGGACGGGGGAGAATGAGATGCCTTTTTCTTGGCCGCGGCTCCAGAGAGAAGCTTTAGCAGACCTCCTTTCTTCTCCTTCTGTGGACACAGATAACAAGACACAGGAGAGAAGGGGATGAAAACATTTGCAGTCTCTTCTACAGACTATCTGTTTTATTTTTCTGGCAGTATCCCTCCTGGTCTCAGAGACGGTTAACCAGCAGTATCTACCTGATGTAATAATGACACCTCCAGTTGGCCAATACAGTATCTTTTTGAGATCTGAGTGTAGTTCTCTGACCAGCCACCAGAGAGCAGCACATATACAGCAGATAGTTTAGTCTCGATGTGTCAGGGGGAACTTTAGTCTCAGTGTGTGTGTATGTGTGTGTGAGTGCGTGTGCATCTTTGGGGTTGAGATGTGAGTCAGAGCCAATTATCAGCTCATAATCAGCATGGAAGCATCTGTCTGACAGCACAGCAGGCCTCGATACACACGCACACACACACAGGCGCGCACACACACACACACACCACAAACCTCTAACTCAATCAGACAGCAAACTCCAACACATAATAAGCCAATGCATGTGGGGAATTAAAATGGTTAGGAAAGCTAGGAGGTTAAATATGGAGGACTAAAAGTGCCACAATTAAATAAATAAATACACCATTAAATAATTACTTAAATGTGTCATTAATTAATTCAAATTAGAATTAAATACATAAATGTGTAATTAAATGTATCATTAATTAATTCAAATACCGATTCATTTTATGTAAAATACATATATAATTATTTCACTATTTACATTTACATTTCATGATCCTGCATTGCAGTGATTCATGAATTACTTAAAACTGTCAAACTGACCCATCAAAGTCAGTGGGCGGGGCTAACGCGAATCTAGTCTGATCCATTGCTTTGGTCTGAAGTAGAGTAGGCCAACCTGGATAGAGACAATGGAGGATCTCCGTGAACTTTCCAGGGAGTTGGTTAGAGACATTTTAAACTTAGCAGATGATGTAGAAGCAGGACCTGCTGACATTATCCGGAATTGATTTGTCTTGGCTTGATGCAGAGGGTAACCAATCAGGCGTTAGGTTCCGCCTACCAACTTTTGATGGGTCAGTTTGACAGTTTTAAGTAATTCAGGAAGCACTCCAACGCAGGACCATGAAATGTAAATGTAAATAGTGAAATTATTATATATGTATTTTACATAAAATGAATCGGTATTTGAATTAATTAATGACACATTTAATAACACATTTATGTATTTAATTCTAATTTTAATTAATTAATGACACATTTAAGTAATTATTTAATGGTGTATTTATTTATTTAATTGTGGCACTTTTAGTCCTCCATAGTTAAATGCTATGAAACTGAATATTATAGTTGATCCATCACAGCTCGTAGTCAATGACTGTTTATCATGGTCGTTCCCTAGTCTATTTGTCCTATTGTCACCAACTGTCTCATCTAGTGTCTGTGAAGCCAGTCAACACCAGAGCAGATAGGCTTCTCTCTCACAGACAACTCTACCATCCATCACTGTCACCATGGACTCAGCTTTAATACACACATCAAGATGAAGAGACGGCCCTGTCACACTGATAGTCTGTCTGTCTGTCGTTGGAGGATTCTGCACCATGTCCAGGTGCAAGCCACTTCCCCTCAACACCACTTCCCCTAGCTATGCTTTTAATATTCCCTAACGATATCCTCCTGACTATGGCATCATGTTGAGGGATTTTAAGGCAGTGTGATGTGGGAGACAGACTCTGCTGTGAGTTTAGATAAAGGGAGGTAGTGTTGGGCGAGAGAGGGAGATGGTAAGAGAGAGAGCAAGGAGAGAGAGAAGAGATGAGAGGGCAGATGAAGAGAGACTCACCTTCTCTGGTTTTGGGGCGTTGCTGTGGGAGGTGCCAGGCGAGGACGGTTGGAAGGGATTGGTTGATTCTCCGTTGAGCAGGGCGGCACTGGCGTTGGGAGGGGTGAGGCAGGAGAGAGGGGAGGAAAGGGGGATGAGAGGTGAGGAGAGGCAGGAGAGGGGGGAAGGGCCGGGGGACAACATGGACATCGGGCGAGCCAATTGGCCAGCGGAGCGCGACGGGGAAGAGTTCTGAGGTCGGAGAGGAGAGACAGCCGCTGTGGGACGCTCTGGGCTGCTGGAGGGTGGGCTGTGGGCTGAACACACACATTACATACTGTTACATACTATTACACAGCACACAGTAGCCATCTTACTGTTACAAGACACCATCTGCTTCCTGTTTGTGCTGTCATCATATTATATATATTTTTTAAATTGTCACACTAGATAGGTGCAGTGAAATGTGTTGTTTTGCAGGGTTAGCCATAGTAGTTTGGCTCCCCTGAGAAAGTTAGGGTTAAGTGCCTTCTGATTTTTCACCTTGTCGGCTCGGGTATTCGAACCAGCAACCTTTCAGTTACTGCCCCAACGCCCTAACAGCTAGGCTGACAGTCAATAGGAGAGGCACACACGAGACATGTGACCAAACTACCATAGCCTACCTATGGCCATATTTTCTTTTGTAATGGATAACAGGTGTGTGTGTGTGTGTGTGTGTGTGTGTGTGTGTGTGTGTGTGTGTGTGTGTGTGTGTGTGTGTGTGTGTGTGTGTGTGTGAGAGACAAAGAGAAAGAGAGAGGCTCCGCAGGAGAAACTTTAATTACCATCACATGTTCTCCCTGACAGAGAGAGGGAAGGAAGGAGAGAGGCAAGGAGGGAGAGAGAGGCCAGATATAAGAGAGCTGGATCAAATGTAGAAAATTACAGATCTAGAACCTCTGTGTGTGTCCTCACCCAGTTGCATGGCAGAGCGGGTCTGGTTAACTGTTTGTTGTCCGGAGCGAAGGCAGTTCTTCAGCTGAGCAGCGGCAGATTGGGGGGAAGAGGGAGGAGGAGAGGGACGAGAAGAGGAGGGGCCAGCGGAGGAGGGGGAGGCTGCCTTACTCCCCTGTCCCACCCCTCCCACCTCCTGCCCCGAGAGACAGGAGCCCCGAGAACCACCCACCGCAAACGGAGCTCTGCAGAGAGAGAGAGAGTGAGAGAGAGAGAGAGAGAGAGATAGAGAGAGAGAGAGTGCGAGGAGGGGTTGGGAGAGGTGGAGAGCAAGTTCCAGTCCTGTTAGAATAGTGACCAAGATACTATTGATATCCCCTATTATACTACCATCTACATGCTGCTTATCGACCGCCTGTCACGCAAACAGAGTTATGTGTTTGAAAGGGTGTGTGTGAGAAAGTTTGTGTGAGAGGGAGAAAGAAATAGTATTTGTGTGAGAAAATGTGTGTGTGTGTGCGTGCATCCGTGCCTGTGTGTGTCTCACCTGGACACGGGTGTTACATAGTTTCCAGGGAAGACTCCTGAAGCAGCGGTGCGTAGTGAGGTTCCTTTAAACCACCCGTCCTGACACTTCTCTGTGACGCGGTACATCTCTCCTTTCCTCAGCTCCAACTCATCTGCCTTCTGGGGCTTATACGCATACAGGGCCAGGTAGCTGGGATACACAGAGACATCATTTAGGATCACATGACTGAACAAATGAGTGGTATTTTTTTAATATGGACAAACAACTATGTAATAAAATACAACCACAGAAAAGGTGAGATTCTGTGCATGCCTCATGTACATTATTTGATCTCATATCCAATTTGCTGGAGTAAAGAACTAAAAAAAATTTTTAAATTCACTGTCTAAATACTGTTGGAAGGTACTACTGAATATATGTTTGATATATGAATGTACATGTCTGAATATACACTATACGACCAAAAGTATGTGAACACCTGCTCGTCGAACATCTCATTCCAAAACCATGGGCATTAATATGTAGTTGGTCCCCCCTTTGTTGCTATAACAGCCTCCACTCTTCGGGGAAGGCTTTCCACTAGATGTTGGAACATTGCTGCGGGGACTTGCTTCCATTCAGCCACAAGAGCATTAGTGAGGGTGGGCACTGATGTTGGACAATTAGGCCTGGCTTACAGTGGGCGTTCCAATTCATCCCAAAGGTGTTCGATGGGGTTGAGGTCAGGGCTCTGTGCAGGCCAGTCAAGTTCTTCCACACCGATCTCGATAAACCACTTCTGTATGGACCTCGCTTTGTGCACGGGGTCATTGTCATGCTGAAACAGGAAAGGGCCTTGCCCAAACTGTTGCCACAAAGTTGGAAGCACAGAATTGTCTAGAATGTCATTGTATGCTGTAGCGTTAAGATTTCCCTTCACTGGAACTAAGGAGCCTGAACCATGAAAAACAGCCCCAGACCATTATTTTTCCTCCACCACACTTTACAGTTGGCACTATGCATTGGGGCAGGTAGCGTTCTCCTGGCATCCGCCAAACCCAGATTCATCTGTCGGACTGCCAGATGGTGAAGCGTGATTCATCACTCCAGAGAATGCGTTTCCACTGCTCCAGAGTCCGATGGCGACGAGCTTTACACCACTCCAGCTGACGCTTGGCATTGCACATGGTGATCTTAGGCTTGTGTGCAGCTGCTCGGCCATGGAAACCCATTTCATGTATGTGCTACTGTCTCCCGACGAACATTTATTGTGCTGACGTTGCTTCCAGAGGAAGTTTGGAACTCGGTAGTGAGTGTTGCAACTGAGGACAGACAACTTTTACGCGCTACGTGCTTCAGCACTTGGCGGTCCAATTCTGTGAGCTTGTGTGGCCTACCACTTTGCGGCTGAGCCGTTGTTGCTCCTAGACGTTTCCACTTCTCAATAACAGCACTTACAGTTGACCGGGGCAGCTCTAGCAGGGCAGAAACTTGACAAACTGACTTGTTGGAAAGGTGGCATCCTATGACGGTGCCACGTTGAAAGTCACTGAGCTCTTCAGTAAGGCCATTCTACTGCCAATGTTTGTCTATGGAGATTGCATGGCGGTGTGCTCGATTTTATAAACCTGTCAGCAATGGGTGTGGCTGAAATAGCCGAATCCACAAATTTGAAGGGGTGTCCACATACTTTTGTATATATATAGTGCATGTCTGAATATGTCTGAAGAATAATAGGAGGGGAGAGTAAACAAGGTCTCCATGCTCTGCCTCTGGGTTACTATGGTAACTGCGGGACATTTTCCCCATAGCAACAGGGCAGGTTGCCGGGTCGGAGATGGAAGTGTCCGACCTCATTAGCGGGACAACCCGCTCTGGATAGTGTGTGTTTTTGTGTGTGCACGCACGTCCAGGGAGATATGGGAGTAGATGCAACAGAATCCCTATATTCCATTCAGCTTCTGTCTCACCATATAGGCAGGACAACAGCTCAGAGAAAACAGACAGCATTGTTAGTCAACTCATTTACCTATAGATTTATCAGTTAGTGAACCATGCCTGTGTGATGAGTAAACTTACATGTTGAGTGGTAGTTGGACCTTGGCTTGAGCCAGCAGTTCTGAGGTGACTGAAGCCACTCTGGGAGGAACTAGAACTGCTACTGAGGAGGGAGAGGGACCGGGGGGAGAGTCCTGTATGCGTGCAGCAGCCCTGGGGTCAGAGGAGCTGATGAGTACAGGGTGGGAGATCTCCATGCTGTGTCTGTTGTTGAGCTGGGCTGTCCGCTGCGTCACACTCAGAGCTGTGAACGAGTGGCGCTTCTTAGCGTTTTTCTTCCCCTCTCCTCCTCTCCTCTCCTCCTCTTGCCTCTGGAGGGCACCATTGGCGCTTTCTGCAGAGGATGGGTTAGGGGAGGGGCCAGGGGAGCAGGGACCCAATGGGAGGCCAGGAGACGGGTCAAAGCTGAGGCCAGGGACGGGATTGGATGTCGGCTTGTCAATCTCCATCAACTGTTTGGCTGTTTCATTTAGCTAAAGTGAGGAGGAGACGAGAGGAAAGGAGACGAGAGGATAGGAGAGGAGAGGAAAGGAGGCAAGACGAGAGGAGAGGAAAGGATGAGATCCAAATCCTTGAATTGAATTGCTTTAGACTGCTTTATTACACACTGCTGGCGCTCAGAGCATGCCTTCTCTTGTTGGCAGAACTTCAAACCAGACAAAAAAGATCACACACACCACACACCCTGGGGAGTATCTATGTACTTAGAGAAAGAGGAGGAGGAGAGAACAACGTTTGTAATGCAGCTCATATCTGACAGGATGATAGTACATCTTGTTCCTGCTAGTCAGATAACCACCACACACTGAATCTACCCAGCAACAACACTACTCACGCTCTCTCACAGACGGATGCTCAGTCTCACAGTCACAGTCACAACACAGAGAGAGCAGGTCCTCTCAGTCCACACACACACACACACACACACACACACACATTATCACCATGTTGAACTCAGGGGATGCTACTGCTACATTAATGTACATCAATATCACCTCCGCTGAAAACACACTCCTTTGTTGGAGAGGATTCCCTGGAGAGAACAGTGCGTGTGTGTGTGTGTTCATACATGCATGTGTGTGTATAGACTGTAGAGGGCAGGACAGAGTGGATCTGTCTCAGTGTGTGAGATGCCGCCATCTCCATATTAATAGATATGCTAATCAGACCATATACTAATGAGCCTGATAGATTGATTCTGCACTGACGGCATCACTCTCAGGGGACGAATGGAGACGCACACACACTCTTTCTCTATGAAGGTCAAATACACACTCAGACACAGACAGACAGTGAATAACTTCATCCAAATATAGTTTTTTCCTCTCTCCATCTCATGCACACTTTCCCACAGTATACACAATACACCTGAATATGTGACTGTCTCTTTACACTATTCACAAGGGCCTTCACCTTTTCCTCGGCAGAAAAGGTGTGAGAGTTTGTGTGTGTGTGTGTGTGTGTGTGTCTGTGTGCGCTGTTCCCTGAGGCAGAACCATCCTTCACATTGTATGTTTTTGCTCTCTGTGATCATCTTTCATCTGAGCAGCGCTGTGCTCACTGTACCATACAGTGTGTGTATTTGTGTGTGTTTGGACGTCAACATTCTAACAGTCTAATAAATACATTTCATATATGCTATTTCATGGCAATTATTGGGGTGATTATCAACTGGGCAGGGCACCTTCAACTGTCGGGAGTAGGAAGGGCAGCAGGGGGAAACCGACATGTCCTCCTTCAATTTGTGATATTAAGATTCTAACAACGACAGTGTGTTATATAGACTTATTTAGGAAAAGTCAAGGACGGGGGGGACATGCCTTTAAAAATGGAGGAGTAATTAAACAAGTGAATTTGTTTTATCGTCCACATGACGCTCTCGGCTCTCCTAGTGTTAAAGGTATGAAGGGGTAACTGTGCACAGCCACACCACCATAGGAGACAAGGAGAGAGGAGAGAGCTCCTTCCTCTCTCCCCCAACGCTCCACTCGCCTCCAGCTGGGACACCCTCATTATGTCCTCCCCCCTACTAACCCTAACCTCCCCCCAACACAACACACACGCGCGCATACACACCCTCCCCTGCCGAGTCAAAGTGATGGAAGACTCTTAATTATTGATGTATCCCTATCTAATAAGACCCCCTGTGTGTGTGTTTGTTGTTACCTCTACATAGAGGATGGGGAAGATCCCAATCTTATCTCCCAGCATGCCCTCTGCCCAGTTGTCATCCACTCGTCTGATCACCGTCAGAACCTCATCCTATTGGACAGAGAGACAGACAGTGGTTTACAGGAATGAAGCTTCTATTCATATCTATCTCTCTCTATGGTCAGATTTGCCAAAGGGAGGGCGAGGGTGATCTAGAGTTTTGTTGCCTCTAGTTGGTGGTGACATGCTGGTAAAAATGAGGTAAAACTGATTTCAGTTTCCCTGCATTAAAATCACCATATGTGTGCGTCTCTCTTTCTCTCACTCTTTCTCCCTCTCTCCCCCACTATCTCCCCTCTCCCTCTCTAACTCTCCCTGTCCCCCTCGTTCTTTCTGCCTCTCCCCCTGACCTAATGATACCACTGTCTCTACTCATTCCTCATCATCACAGAGGGAAAGAAGGAGAGGGAGAGAGAGAAAGAGAGAGGGAGAAAGAGAAACAGTAAGAGAGGGACCCACTGGCCCTGTTACATGCAGGCTTACATGCTGCTCTCCTTCACTCATTCACTCCCTCTCCGTCTCCTCTCCGTCTCCCCCCCCCGAATTTCAGCCCATCCTTCCATTTAGTCATTTAGCTAGGGAACTGCAGCTGTGATTCTGTGTGTGTCTGTGTGTGCGAAAAGAAAGTGTGTGTCTGTGTCTCTCTGTCCTGACTTGGCCCTCTTTCCTTTAGCCCCATCCTGAGAGAGTGTTTGAGGCCAGGTGCTGCTAAGGAACACACACACACACACACACAGAATGAGAGAGAGAAGGAGATATGTTCCATTTGCCAGTGTCCTCACCTAGAGTGTGTGTAACAGCATGAACAAATTATGAGCTTTGAAGAGGAGAGAAGCAGAGGGAATACAAATCACTGTTTATCACAAACACTGTGCTGGAGAAGGGGGGTGGGGGAGAGAAAGAGAGAGTATCTCTCTCGCTCTCCCACACAGGAGGAGAAAAACTATATTCAGATAGAGAGGTAGAAAGATAGACGGAGGAGAAGGTAGAGTGCTTAGATAAACACAAAGCATCCAGTGGGGTATCATAGAATACAGTTACATGCAGACAATAATACGATTACTGTGAATAGTCAGATTAATATAATAATTCGATTTAAACGTTTACAAGCTTTGCAAGAAGAACGATTTCCCGAATAATTCTGTTTACATGGACACATCTGAAATCAGGCTACCTGATGGCCCTTTGATAAATGCAGAAAATCGAATGAAAATAAACGTTCTACCATGTTATTTTTGCGAAGCCTATATGATTCTGAGTTCGGACATACCCTACCAGTCAAAAGTTTGGACACACCTACTCATTCAAGGGTTTTTCTTTATTTTTACAATTTTTTACATTGTAGAATAATAGTGAACACATCAAAACTATGAAAAACCCATATGGAATCATGTAGTAACCAAAAAATTGTTAAACTAATCTAAATATATTTGAGATTTGAGATTCTTCAAATAGCCACCCTTTGCCTTGATGACAGCTTTGCACACTCTTGGCATTCTCTCAACCAGCTTCATGAGGTTGTTACCTGGAATGCATTTCAGGTGTACCTTCTTAAAAGTTAATTTGTGGAATTTCTTTCCTTCTTAATGCGTTTGAGCCAATCAGTTGTGTTGTGACAAGGTGGGGGGGGGGGGGGGTATACAGAAGATAGCCCTATTTGGTAAATGACCAAGTCCATATTATGGCAAGAACAGCTCAAATAAGCAAAGAGAAACAACAGTACATCATTACCTTAAGACATGAAGGTCAGTCAATACGGAAAATGTCAAGAACTTTGAACGTTTCTTCAAGTGCAGTCGCAAAAACCATCAAGCGCTATGATGAAACTGGCTCTCATGAGGACTGCCACAGGAATGGAAGACCCAGAGTTACCTCTCATTAGAGTTACCAGCCTCAGAAATTGCAGCCCAAATAACCACTACTAAAGGACACCAATAAGAAGAAGAGACTTGCTTGGGCCAAGAAACACGAGCAATGGACATTAGACCGGTGGAAATGTGTCCTTTGGTCTGGAGTCCAAATTGGAGATTTTTGGTTCCAACCGCCGTGTCTTTCCCACCGTAAAGCATGGAGGAGGAGGTATTATGATGTGGGGGTGCTTTGCTGGTGACACTGTGTGTGATTTATTTAGAATTCAAGGCACACTTAACCAGCATGGCTACCACAGCATTCTGCAGTGATACGCCATCCCATCTGGTTTGTGCTTAGTGGGACTATCATTTGTTTTTCAACAGGACAATGACCCAACACACCTCCAGGCTGTGTAAGGGCTATTTTACCAAGAAGGAGAGTGATGGAGTGCTGAATCAAGATGACCTGGCCTCCACAATCCCCTGACCTCAACCCAATTGAGATGGTTTGGGATGAGTTGGACCCCTGAGTGAAGGAAAAGCAGCCAACACGTGCTCAGCATATGTGGGAACTCCTTCAAGACTGTTGGAAAAGCATTCCAGGTGAAGCTGGTTGAGAGAATGCCAAGAGTGTGCAAAGCTGTCATCAAGGCAAAGGGTAGCTATTTTAAGAATCTCAAATCTCAAATATATTTTGATTTGTTTAACACTTGTTTGGTTAATACATGATTCCATATGTATTATTTCATAGTTTTGATGTCTTCACTATTATTCTACAATGTAAAAAATAGTAAAAATAAAGAAAAACCCTGGAATGAGTAGGTGTGTTCAAACTTTTGACTGGTACTGTATAACGTTTGTATGTGAAAACTATTTCTAAGACACATACTTTCAGTTTTTCCGAACTCACTTCACTCGTGCACAAGAGGGAGGCTTTTGCTGCTGGTGCTGGCACATACGCAGATCAACTCCGTTTAAGCTGTTTCCATGTCCTAATAATAAAATAAAAAACTGGTGTTTAAATCAGTGTATTGATACACTACACGACCAAAGGTATGTGGACACCTGCTCATCAAACATCTAATTCCAAAATCATGGGCATTAATATGGAGTTGGTCCCCTGTTTGCTGCTATAACAGTCTCCACTCTTCTGGGAAGGCTTTCCACTAGATGATGGAACATTGCTGCGGGGACTTGCTTCCATTCAGCCACAAGAGCATTAGTGAGGTCGGGCACTGATGTTGGGTGATTAGGCCTGGCTCGCAGTCTGCGTTCCAATTCATCCCAAAGGTGTTCGATGAGGCTCTGTGCAGGCCAGTCAAGTTCTTCCACACCGATCTCGACAATCCATTTCTGTTAGGACCTCGCTTTGTGAAAGGGGCATTGTCATGCTGAAACAGGAAAGGGGCCTTCCCCAAACTGTTGCCACAAAGTTCGAAGCACAGAATTGTCTAGAATGTCATTGGTTGCTGTAGCGTTAAGATTTCCCTTCACTGGAACGAAGGGGCCTAGCCCGAACAATAAAAAACTGCCCCAGACCATTATTCCTCCTCCACCAAACTTTACAGTTGGCACTATGCATTGGGGAAGGTAGCGTTCTCTCCTGGCATCCGCCAAACCCAGATTCATCCATTGGACTGCCAGATGGTGAAGCGTAATTCATCACTCCAGAGAACGTGTTTCCACTGCTCCAGAGTCCAATGGTGTCGAGCTTTACACCACTCCAGCCGACGCTTGGCATTGCACATGGTGATCTTAGGCTTGTGTGCGGCTGCTCGGCCATGAAAACCCATTTCATGAAGCTACTGACGAACAGTTCTTGTGCTGATGTTACTTCCAGAGGCAGTTTGGAACTCGGTAGTGAGAGTTGCAACCGAGGACAGACGATTTTTACGTACTACGCACTTCAGCACTCGGCGGTCCCTTCTGTGAGCCTACCACTTCTCGGCTGAGCCGTTGTTGGTCCTAGATGTTTCCACTTCACAATAACAGCACTTACAGTTGACCGGGGCAGCTCTAGCAGGGCAGAAACTTGACAAACTGACTTGTTGGAAAGGTGGCATCCTATGACGGTGCCACGTTGAAAGTCAATGAGTTCTTCAGTAAGGCCATACTACTGCCAATGTTTGTTTATGGAGATTGCATGGTGGTGTGCTCGATTTTATACACCTGTCAGCAACGGGTGTGGCTGAAATAGCCGAATCCACTAATTTGAAGGGGTGTCCACATACTTTTTTATATATAGTGTATATTTATATTCCGGACTCGGACAATACTCGTTCTTATATGTCTTAAATTCTTTCTTTTTCTTTTTAGGATTATGTGTGTTTTGTTTTGTTAGGTATTACTGTACTGTTGGAGCTAGAAACATAAGCATTTCGCTGCACCTGCAATAACATCTGCAAAATATGTGTACGCGACCAATAAAATAAAATTGTATTTGATCAGTCTCCATGTAAACATACTCATAGATGCACACACAGTGGATTACAGCGAGTCAGCGTGTATTTGTGTGTGTAGGTTTGTGTGTGCGTGCGTGCGTGAATGTGTGTGTGTGTACCTTCGAGAAGGCCAGACAGTCTTTGTCCTGGTCTTTGTCTTTGACCTCAAAGTCGTACAGGGCCTTTCCTGTGGGCGGAGTTTGGCTCAGCGGCCGTAACAACGCAATGTAACTAGCTGGCAGGAAACCATGACAACTGTTCAGCTCCCCGTGGTACCAGTTGTCGTCAACTTTACGTCGCAGGGATGATGTCCCCTTTAACAAACTGCAGGTCTCCAGGTTCCTTCCCCTCGTAGGAATAGAGAGCCTTCCCACAGGGCAGGGTTTGGGTTAGATTAGATACAGTCTGGAGGAGAGAGAGGAGAGATACGTTAGACCTTCTCACAGGGCAGGACTGGGACATTCTGGGAGGAGCGAAGAGGACAGATACGTTTAGGACTTTCCCACAGGGCAAGGTGCTGGACATTCTGGGCAGGGCTGGGACATTCTAGAGGACCGAGAGGAGAGATACGTTAGACTTTCCCACAGGGCAGGGCTGGGACATTCTAGAGGACCGAGAGGAGAGATACGTTAGACTTTCCCACAGGGCAGGGCTGGGACATTCTGGAGGACCGAGAGGAGAGATACGTTAGACTTTCCCACAGGGCAGGGCTGGGACATTCTGGAGGAGCGAGAGGACAGATACGTTAGACCTTCCCACAGGGCAGGGCGGGTACACTCTGGAGGAGAGGGAAGACAGACCCTATAGAAGGGATAAGCAACTATACTGAACAAAAATATAAACTCAACATGCAACAATTTCAAAGATTTTACTGAGTTACAGTTCATATAAGGAAATCAGTCAATTGAAATAAATTCATTAGTACCTAATCTATGGATTTCACATGACTGGGAATACAGATATGCATCTGTTGGTCACAGATACCTTCAAAAAAAGGTAGGTTCGTGGATCAGAAAAACAGTCAGGATCCGGTGTTACCACCATTTGCCTCATGCAGTGTGACACATCTCCTTCGCATAGAGTTGATCAGGCAGTTGATTGTGGCCTGTGGAATGTTGTCCCACTCCTCCTCAATGGCTGTGCGAAGTTGCTGGATATTGGCGGGAACTGGAACACACTGTCGTACACATCGATCCAGAGCATCCCAAACATGCGCAATGGGTGACATGTCTGGTGAGTATGCAGGCCATGGAAGAACTGGGATATTTTCAGCTTCCAGGAATTATGTACAGATCTTTGGGGCCGTGCATTATCTTGCTGAAACATGAGGTGATGGCGTCGGATGAATGGCACGACAATGGGCCTCAGGATCTCGTCACAGTTTCTCTGTGCATTCAAATTGCAATCGATAAAATGCAATTGTGTTTGTTGTCCGTAGCTTATGCCTGCCCATACCATAACCCCACCACAACTATGATGCACTCTGTTCACAACGTTGACATCAGCAAACCACTCGCCCACACGACGCCATACATGTGGTCTGCGGTTGTGAGGCCGGTTGGACATACTGCCAAATGCCAATTGCACACTCCCTTACAACTTCAGACATCTGTGGCATTGTGTTGTGTGACAAAATGGCACATTTTAGAGTGGCCTTTTATTGTCCCCAGCACAAGGTGCACTTGTGTAATGATCATACTGTTTATCCAGTTTTTTGATATGCCACACCTGTCAGGTGGATGGAGTATCTTGGTAAAGGAAAAATGCTCACTAATAGGGATGTAAACAAATTTGTGCACAAAATTTGAGAGAAATAAGCTTTTTGTGCGTATGGACATTTTCTGGGATCTTTTATTTCTGCTCATGAAACATGGGACCAACACTTTACATGTTGCATTTATGGGAGGGAGAGAGAGAGAGAGAGAGAGAGAGAGAGAGAGAGAGAGAGAGAGAGAGAGAGAGAGAGAGAGAGAGGGGAGAGAGAAAGGGAGGGAGAGAGAGAGAGAGCGAGAGAGAGAGAGAGAGAGAGAGAGAGGGGAGAGAGAAAGAGAGCGAATGACAGATGAGAAGAGAGGGAGGGTAGTACTTTTGCATTCCGCGGCTCATTACTATGGAGGACTAAAAGTGCCACAATTAAATAAATAAATACACCATTAAATAATTACTTAAATGTGTCATTAATTAATTAAAATTAGAATTAAATACATAAATGTGTTATTAAATGTGTCATTAATTAATTCAAATACCGATTCATTTTATGTAAAATACATATATAATAATTTCACTATTTACATTTACATTTCATGGTCCTGCGTTGGAGTGCTTCCTGAATTACTTAAAACTGTCAAACTGACCCATCAAAAGTTGGTAGGCGGAACCTAACGCCTGATTGGTTACCCTCTGCATCAAGCCAAGACAAATCAATTCCGGATAATGTCAGCAGGTCCTGCTTCTACATCCTCTGCTAAGTTTAAAATGTCTCTAACCAACTCCCTGGAAAGTTCACGGAGATCCTCCATTGTCTCTATCCAGGTTGGCTTACTCTACTTCAGACCAAAGCAATGGATCAGACTAGGTCCTCTGTAGCTCAGCTGGTAGAGCACGGCTCTTGTAACGCCAAGATAGTGGGTTCGATCCCCGGGACCACCCATACACAAAAATGTATGCACGCATGACTGTAAGTCGCTTTGGATAAAAGCGTCTGCTAAATGGCATATTATTATTATTATTATTAGATTCGCGTTAGCCCCGCCCACTGACTTTGATGGGTCAGTTTGACAGTTTTAAGTAATTCATGAATCACTGCAATGCAGGATCATGAAATGTAAATGTAAATAGTGAAATAATTATATATGTATTTTACATAAAATGAATCGGTATTTGAATTAATTAATGATACATTTAATTACACATTTATGTATTTAATTCTAATTTGAATTAATTAATGACACATTTAAGTAATTATTTAATGGTGTATTTATTTATTTAATTGTGGCACTTTTAGTCCTCCATACATTACACACATATCATTACATTAGCTCTGGGGTCACACTTTATTTGGATAGTACGGATAGTCCGGATATCTGTTGATAAGCAACTGCTTGCTAAGGTTACAGTTAGGTTTAGAATAAGGGTTAGGGCTACGGTTAGGGTAAGGGTAAGGGTTAAGTTTAGGGTTAGGATAAGGGTTAGGGTTAGTAGATAATTAGTTGAAATGTTACTGATAGTCTGTAGATAGTACCTACAATTTTACTAAAAAGTCCTTAAAACTAGCTTAGGTTGTAGAATGTTGACAACAAAATGTGTAACACTAACATGCACACACTTCTTTCCTGCTGCCAGTGTGTGTGTGTGTGTGTGTGTGTGTGTGTGTGTGTGTGTGTGTGTGTGTGTGTGTGTGTGTGTGTGTGTGTGTGTGTGTGTGTGTGCGTGTGTGTATAATGGTATAGTACAACCACAGTGCAGTCTATTCATCTTCATGAACTCCTTATTGAGTACCTGCAATCAGCTACACAGCTAAAGTACTGCCACTGAACCAGTCAGTCAGCTGCACAGCTAAAGTACTGCTACTGAACCAGTCAGTCAGCTACACAGCTAAAGTCCTGCCACTGAACCAGTCAGTCAGCTACACAGCTAAAGTACTGCCACTGAACCAGTCAGTCAGCTGCACAGCTAAAGTACTGCTACTGAACCAGTCAGTCAGCTACACAGCTAAAGTACTGCTACTGAACCAGTCAGTCAGCTACACAGCTAAAGTACTGCTACTGAACCAGTCAGTCAGCTACACAGTTAAAGTACTGCCACTGAACCAGTCAGTCAGCTACACAGCTAAAGTCCTGCCACTGAACCAGTCAGTCAGCTACACAGCTAAAGTACTGCTACTGAACCAGTCAGTCAGCTACACAGCTAAAGTACTGCTACTGAACCAGTCAGTCAGCTACACAGCTAAAGTACTGCTACTGAACCAGTCAGTCAGCTACACAGTTAAAGTACTGCCACTGAACCAGTCAGTCAGCTACACAGCTAAAGTCCTGCCACTGAACCAGTCCGTCAGCTACACAGCTAAAGTACTGCTACTGAACCAGTCAGTCAGCTACACAGCTAAAGTACTGCTACTGAACCAGTCAGTCAGCTACACAGTTAAAGTACTGCCACTGAACCAGTCAGTCAGCTACACAGCTAAAGTACTGCTACTGAACCAGTCAGTCAGCTACACAGCTAAAGTACTGCTACTGAACCAGTCAGTCAGCTACACAGCTAAAGTACTGCTACTGAACCAATCAGTCAGCTACACAGCTAAAGTACTGCTACTGAACCAGTCAATCAGCTACACAGCTAAAGTACTGCTACTGAAGCAGTCAGTCAGTCACACAGCTCAATTACTGCCACTAAAACCAAACAATTATAAGATGTTTCTAATAAATGGACTTGCTCTAGACTGACCCCAGACCCCATCCCCGAACACACACACACACACACACACACACACACACACACACACACACACACACACACAAACACACACGCGTCCTCTCCTGTCCTCCTGGGCTTTCAGGAGAAATCCATTATTGATCCCCACTGGGCACACACACCTCTAATTACTGCACCACAGGCGCGAGAGAGCTGCCTGGTGTGTGTGTGTATGTGTGTGTGTGTGTGTGTGTGTGCGTGTGTGTATAATGGTATAGTACAACCACAGTGCAGTCTATTCATCTTCATGAACTCCTTATTGAGTACCTGCAATCAGCTACACAGCTAAAGTACTGCCACTGAACCAGTCAGTCAGCTGCACAGCTAAAGTACTGCTACTGAACCAGTCAGTCAGCTACACAGCTAAAGTCCTGCCACTGAACCAGTCAGTCAGCTACACAGCTAAAGTACTGCCACTGAACCAGTCAGTCAGCTGCACAGCTAAAGTACTGCTACTGAACCAGTCAGTCAGCTACACAGCTAAAGTACTGCTACTGAACCAGTCAGTCAGCTACACAGCTAAAGTACTGCTACTGAACCAGTCAGTCAGCTACACAGTTAAAGTACTGCCACTGAACCAGTCAGTCAGCTACACAGCTAAAGTCCTGCCACTGAACCAGTCAGTCAGCTACACAGCTAAAGTACTGCTACTGAACCAGTCAGTCAGCTACACAGCTAAAGTACTGCTACTGAACCAGTCAGTCAGCTACACAGCTAAAGTACTGCTACTGAACCAGTCAGTCAGCTACACAGTTAAAGTACTGCCACTGAACCAGTCAGTCAGCTACACAGCTAAAGTCCTGCCACTGAACCAGTCCGTCAGCTACACAGCTAAAGTACTGCTACTGAACCAGTCAGTCAGCTACACAGCTAAAGTACTGCTACTGAACCAGTCAGTCAGCTACACAGTTAAAGTACTGCCACTGAACCAGTCAGTCAGCTACACAGCTAAAGTACTGCTACTGAACCAGTCAGTCAGCTACACAGCTAAAGTACTGCTACTGAACCAGTCAGTCAGCTACACAGCTAAAGTACTGCTACTGAACCAGTCAGTCAGCTACACAGCTAAAGTACTGCTACTGAACCAGTCAATCAGCTACACAGCTAAAGTACTGCTACTGAAGCAGTCAGTCAGTCACACAGCTCAATTACTGCCACTAAAACCAAACAATTATAAGATGTTTCTAATAAATGGACTTGCTCTAGACTGACCCCAGACCCCATCCCCGAACACACACACACACCACACACACACACACACACACACACACACACACACACACACACACACACACAAACACACACGCGTCCTCTCCTGTCCTCCTGGGCTTTCAGGAGAAATCCATTATTGATCCCCACTGGGCACACACACCTCTAATTACTGCACCACAGGCGCGAGAGAGCTGCCTGGTGTGTGTGTGTATGTTTGTGTGTGTCAGGGTAGCCTAGTCCCCCTGTGCAGCAGTGAGATCCCATCTGCTCCTGTCTCTTTAAAGCCTGATCTGCTAGCTGTTTTTTCTCCTCTCCTTCTCTTCGTTTCTCCCTCCCTTTCTCTTCTCTCACCTTTCCTCTGTTCAGTAATAAACTTGTTCTGTCCTTGGAAGGGCACTGGGCCGTTACCCGTTACCTCTCTGCTATAGCTACTGGACAATCAGTGTCTGTCTGTCTCTCTCTCTGTGTGTGTGTGTGTGTGTGTGTGTGTGTGTGTGTGTGTGTGTGTGTGTGTGTGTGTACCTCCAGTAATAGCATAGTAAATCTGTAATGTTCCTGTTCCAAGACCAGCATTACATCAAACCTGCTGTTTCTGAAGGAGATCACGTAGAGCTGCCCTAATACTGAACCCGTACCTAACACACACACACACACACACACACACACACACACACACACACACACACACACACACACACACACACACACACTTCATTCAGACATAGTGGGTAATTCCTCACAAAACTAGAACAAAAGAAGACCATGATTTTGGGGATTTTCACAAAATTGAATCCATAGAAGGGTAGGAAAGATTGTTGACATATATTTGACATGTGTATCTTAAAGCATCATTGAGAAATATTGAATTGAAGTTGGAACATTTGTGACAATTTGGCCTCCTTTAAAAGTCCTATGCAGCCAGGGTTTTTTCACAATATCAAATCATTTCTGGGTAAAAATTAAGTACTTTACCGTTATTGTTTTCAATTAAAATGGTAAAAAAATAAGCCAAAATAGCTTTTTCGTAAAGAGCAATTTCTCAAGCAAGAATTTTGCTAGGACTGTCTGGGAGTTTAGCGAAAGGAAAGGGGGATACCTAGTCAGTTGTACAACTGAATGCATTCAACTGAAATGTGTCTTCCGCATTTAACCCAACCCCTCTGAATCTGAGAAGTGCGGGGGGCTGCCTTGGTCTGAGTGGGGAGGGGAAAACTGAGAACTAGCTGTTATTGGCAGAGAGGTTTGAAACGCTCTTTCTTATTGGTCTAATTTACCACCTGGTGATGTCACCAGGCAGGCCAAAACTCAATTCCACAAAAACAGGCTGAAATTTCAGGTGGTCTTTTCAAACAGCTCTTACACTAAAATTGAATTATCATCATTTTGTCTCTCGCCTCCCTCCATCCATCTCTCTCTCTCCCTGCTCTCTCTACTCCTAACATATGTTAACACATCTACCAGATCTGATCAGAATAGGAGGAACAGGAAACATGCAGAGTCTCATTCTAAATCAGAGCCAATGTGCTATTTGTCTATTTATCAATAACAGCTGGTGCGCAGTGTCTAATATTAAGGAAGTCTTGCGGTATTGCTCGCCTGAGGTAGAGTACCTCATGATAAGCTGTAGACCACACTATCTACCAAGAGAGTTTTCATCTATCATTTTCCATAGCCGTCTATTTACCACCACAAACCGATGCTGGCACTAAGACTGCACTCAACGAGCTGTATAAGGCCATAAGCAAACAAGAAAATGCTCATCCAGAAGCGGCGCTCCTAGTGGCCGGGGACTTTAATGCAGGCAAACTTAAATCCGTTTTACCTCATTTCTACCAGCATGTCACATGTGCAACCAGAGGGGAAAAAAACTCTAGACCACCTTTACTCCACATACAGAGACGTTTTGCTAGCACAGACTGGAATATGTTCCGGGATTCATCCAATGGCATTGAGGAGTATACCACCTCAGTCACCGGCTTCATCAATAAGTGCATCAACAACGTCGTCCTCACAGTGACCGTACGTACATACCCCAACCAGAAGCCATGGATTACAGGCAACATCCGCACCGAGCTAAAGGCTAGAGCTGCCGCTTTCAAGGAGCGGGACACTAATCCGGACGCTTATAAGAAATCCCGCTATGCCCTCAGACGAACCATCAAACAGGCAAAGCGTCAATACAGGAGAACACCAGCTGTTCCGGACGACTATGTGATCACGCTCTCCGTAGCCGCTGTGAGCAAGACCATTAAACAGGTCAACATTCACAAGGCCGCAGGGCCAGACGGATTACCAGGACGTGTACTCAGAGCATGCACGGACCAACTGGCAAGTGTCTTCACTGACATTTTCAACCTCTCCCTGACCGAGTCTGTAATACCACATGTTTCAAACAGACCACCATTGTCCCTGTTCCCAAGAACACTAAGGTAACCTGCCTAAATTAATACCGACCAGTAGCACTCACGTCTGTAGCCATGAAGTGCTTTGAAAGGCTGGTCATGGCTCACATCGACACCATTATCCCAGAAACCCTAGACCCACTCCAATTTGCATACCGCCCCAACAGATCCACAGATGATGCAATCTCTATTGCACTCCACACTGCCCTTTCCCACCTGGACAAAAGGAACACCTACGTGAGAATGCTATTCATTGACTACAGCTCAGTGTTCAACACCATAGTGCCCTCAAAGCTCATCACTAAGCTAAGGACCCTGGGACTAAACACCTCCCTCTGCAACTGGATCCTGGACTTCCTGACGGGCCGCCCCCAGGTGGTAAGGGTAGGTAACAACACATCTGCCACGCTGATCCTCAACACAGGGGCCCCTCAGGGGTGCGTGCTTAGTTCCCTTCTGTACTCCCTGTTCACCCATGACTGCATGGCCAGGCACGACTCCAACACCATCATTAAGTTTGCCAACGGCACAACAGTGGTAGGCCTGATCAGCGACAACGATGAGACAGCCTATAGGGAGGAGGTCAGAGACCTGGCCGTGTGGTGCCAGGATAACAACCTCTCCCTCAACGTGATCAAGACAAAGGTGATGATTGTGGACTACAGGAAAAAGAGGACCGAGCACGCCCCCATTCTCATCGACGGGGCTGTAGTGGAACAGGTTGAGAGCTTCAAGTTCCTTGGTGTCCACATCACCAAAATACGATCATGGACCAAACACACCAAGACAGTCGTGAAGAGGGTATGACAAAGCCTATTCCCCCTCAGGAGACTGAAAAGATTTGGCATGGGTCCTCAGATCCTCAAAAGGTTCTACAGCTGCACCATCGAGAGCATCTTGACTGGTTGCATGATTGCCTGGTATGGCAACTGCTCGGCCTCCGACCGCAAGACACTACAGAGGGTAGTGCGTACGGCCCAGTACATCACTGGGGCCAAGCTTCCTGCCATCCAGGACCTCTATATCAGGCGGTGTCAGAGGAAGGCCCTAAACATTGTCAAAGACTCCAGTCACCCAAGTCATAGACTGTTCTCTCTGCTACCGCATGGCAAGTGGTACCAGAGCGCCAAGTCTAGGTCCAAAAGGCTCCTTAACAGCTTCTACCCCCAAGTCATAAGACTGCTGAACAATTAATCAAATGGCCACCCGGACTATTTAACAAGTCATAAGACTGCTGAACAATTAATCAAATGGCCACCCGGACTATTTAAATGACCCCCCCCCCCCCCCCCCCCCTTTGTTTTTACACTGCTGCTACTCGCTGTTTATTATCTATGCATAGTCACTTTACCCCCACCTACATGTACAAATTACCTCGACTAACCTGTACCCCCGCACATTGACTTGTGTTACTTTTTATTTTATTTTTTACTTTCTTTTATTTAGTAAATATTTTCTTAACTCTATTTCTTGAACTGCATTGTTAGTTAAGGACTTGTAAGTAAGCATTTCACGGTAAGGTCTACACCTGTTGTATTCGGCGCATGTGACAAATAAAATGTGATTTGATTTGATTTGGATCCATCAGGAGAATGTTTTGTCAAGTGATGTTATTGTGCAGTAGTGTCACCCTTGACCAATCACTGCCATGTTACATTAACATTATTTTAGTGATGTTAAAGTGTTATGATGAATCCCCCTCCCCTCTCCTCTGGTTGTTAGGACAGTGGGATTCTGACTGTCACCCAGAGCTGGTTGTCATGGTTTCACCTGGCTGGGTTGTCTTGGTGGTGACTATGTCTCTGCATATATTTACATGTACATTAACACATACACTGTACCCTGTCTATGCCTGCATTTGCACGTCATTAGTATTCCCTGAGCTGAGGATGTGTGTGTGAGTGTGTGTTCACTTTGTCAGAGGTGACCTCATGGCACTCTGCACTTTTATGAAGTGCAGAGTGGTGTGTGTGTTTCAGTTAGTGATAGCTATTGTAAAGTGGTGTTTTGCTTCCCCTCTCTTTCCCAGCTGGCAGAATGTCTGTCCATGTTGCCAAGGCAGCCAGTGTCTATAGTGGGAGACCAGGGGTGCAGTTGTGTGTGTCTGCAGGAGGGGGGTAATGAATAATAGATGGAAAGTGGATCAATAACGCAGTGAATCACTAAGACTGAATAACAATTTAAGCTTGTCCAATTTGGCCATTTCAATTGATAGGATTCATATAATATTCAATAAATATCCTACCCAACATCCAATTTGGACGAAACTTTTTTTAAACAATGGGTTAGAAATTAGGAATCCAAAGAAATTGTCAAAAGCCACCCACGGATCCCCCACATCCCACCCCAACAACGAGTATATAGTATCAGTTCTCCATGTTTGACAAGTAGTATGGAGCTGCGGCTCAGAGTATTGTTTCTTCATCCCATGTAATATATTCTCAGTGAATTTGGTGATGTTTCTTTTCCTGTGTTCAGAGAAATGTGTCATTGAAGTTGTTGGGTTTATGTCCCATCCTACATCCTTATGTTACCAGGTTCTGACCACTGATGGTGCTGTTCCTGCTATTAGGTGATTATTTTTTTAAGTACTCCCCCTCCCCCATTGTTAAAGGGATAGTTCACCCAAATTACACAATTACATATTGGGTTTCTTACCCTGTAATCAGTCTATAGAGTTAGTGAGGTAACTTTGGTAAACTCTAAGCTCATCTCGGGATAACCGGTCATACGAAAGTGGCTCACCTTTTACATTTATATGGCAAAGAATCCTTTAGAACTAACCTGCTCCGGGGCAGGCTAACTCACGGCTACCTCTACTTACCCTGAATGAAATGACTCAACCACGAGTTGAGGACCAATGAAATCAGATTCCCTCCCTCTTGCAAAGAATGCGTCATCATCCCCTTCATTTTGAGGAAGACAACTTGATTAACTATTTTATTAATCAAATGTTTTTTGTGTGTTAAAAATGTGTAATGTTAAAATAAAATCATATTACATATTTAGTAATGACAGAATGCATTTTAAACTTCACGCACAGTAACACTTTTGTATGACTTAATAAAATGATTTTAACAATAGGAATAGGAAAAAAGGTGCTTGTGGTTGTGCATTGATAAGCACACCAAAGCACACCAAAGTTGCCATTAATGATAAGCAATAAAATAAAGACGGCATTTCTACCATAGCCTGCTGAATTTGCAAAATAACTTTTCTTTCATTTTCGGCACAAATGAAAATGTGGCACTGACTCACCCATGGATTGATGTTTCGGCATTGTCTCAATGAAGAGTTACAAGCCTGCTAGAGTGCAAGTGCAGATACAAGCCTGCTAGAGTTAGCGGCAGGCGGATTAACACTATCCACTGTCGTAGTATGGATGAAGCCTGAGCTGGAATGCGAAGCTAACTGAAGCTGGTTACAGTAACTTTAGAAAACCCTGAGTAGATCTAGCTTGCTTTGTAGGATGCCCCTTTGCTATGACAGCGACCCATGATATGGTTTTGTTTACCTGGCCACTGTTTCAAATGCATTTTCATGCTTCATGTATAAATCATCCTAAAGTATCTAAATATTTATTGTGTAACTCAATGATATTACTTATAGATGATTTGGATATGAATCGCGAAAATGCTAATATAGGTACCATTGACTTGCTTGAATTGGATTTGTGGCACAAATGCTAATAAGTTAGCATTTGAAACAGTGGCCAGGTAAACAAAACCAAAGCATGGGTTGTTGTCATACATGGTCCACAGACTGATTACAGGGTAAGAAAACCAATATGTAATTGCGTAATTTGGGTGAACTATCCCTTTAACAATGGGGGAGCGGGAGTACTTAAAAAAAGAATCACCTAATAGCAGGAACAGCACCATCAGTGGTCAGAACCTGGTAATATCAGCCTGTAGGATGGGATATAAACCCATCAACTTCAATGACACATTTCTCTGAACAGAAAAAAATAATACATCACCAAATTCACTGAGAATAATTTATATAGGATGAAAATACTATATAATACCCAGAGCCGCAGCTCCATACTACTTGTCAAACATAGAGAACTGATACTATATACTCGTTGTTGGGCTGGGATTGGCGTGGGGTGTGGGAGGTCCACGGATGGCTTTTGACCAGTTCTTTGGATTCCTCATGTTTTACTCATTGTTAGAAAAAAGTTTTGTCCAAATCGGATGTTAGGTACTATAATTATTGAATATTATATGAATCCTATAAATTATATAAAATATAAATTAGCTTTATTTCATAGTGATCAAATCATATTTCAACAAAATAATGCTTATCTTTCTGAACAATCTGAGATGTGGGTGTCATGGCTTGCTCAAATGACATGGAACGACCCTGCGTATGCATAGAGAGTCAACATAACAACGTACAGTATCACACCACAGTCCACGGCTCATTAGGGTGTGCGTGTGTGTGGGTGAAGCTTGTGATTCTTATTACAGTGCCTTGCAAAAGTATTCATCCCCCTTGGCATTTTTCCTATTTTGTTGCAATACAACCTGTCATTTAAATTGATTTTTATTTGGATATCATGTAATGGACATACACCAAATTGTCCAAATTGGTGAAGTCAAATGAAAAAAATAACTAATGGAAAAGTGGTGCGTGCATATGTATTTACCCCCTTTGCTATGAAGTCCCTAAATAAGATCTGGTGCAACCAATTACCTTCAGAAGTCACATAATTAGTTAAATAAAGTCCACCTGTGTGCAATCTAAGTGTCACATGATCTCAGTATATATACACCTGTTCTGAATGGCCCCAGAGTCTGCAACACCACTAAACAAGGGGCACCACCAAGCAAGTGGCACCATGAAAATGTATGCACTCACTAACTGTAAGTCACTCTGGATAAGAGCGTCTGCTAAATGACTCCAATGTAAATGTAAAATGAAGACCAAGGAGCTCTCCAAACAGGTCAGGGACAGAGTTGTGGAGAAGTACAGATCAGGGTTGGGTTATAAAAAAATATCAGAAACATTGAACATCCCACGGAGCACCATTAAATCCATTATTTAAAAAATGGAAAGAATATGGCACCACAACAAACCTGCCAAGAGAGAGCCACCCACCAAAACTCACAGACCAGGCAAGGAGGGCATTAATCAGAGAGGCAACAAAGAGACCAAAGATAACCCTGAAGGAGCTGCAAAGCTCCACAGCGGAGATTGGAGTATCTGTCCATAGGACCATTTTAAGCCATACACTCCACAGAGCTGGGCTTTACGGAAGAGTGGCCAGAAAAAAGCCACTGCTTAAAGAAAAAAATAAGCAAACACGTTTGGTGTTCGCCAAAAGCCATGTGGGAGACTCCCCAAACATATGGAAGAAGGTACTCTGGTCAGATGAGACTGAAATTGAGCTTTTAGCCATCAAGGAAAATGTCTGCCGCAAACCCAACACCTCTCATCACCCCGAGAACACCATCCCCACAGTGAAGCATGGTGGTGGCAGCATCCTGCTGTTGGGATGTTGTTCATCGGCAGGGACTGGGAAACTGGTCAGAATTGAAGGAATGATGGATGGCGCTAAATACAGGGAAATTCTTGAGGGAAACCTGTTTCAGTCTTCCAGAGATTTGAGACTGGGACGGAGGTTCACCTTCCAACAGGACAATGACCCTAAGCATACTGCTAAAGCAACACTCGAGTGGTTTAAGGGGAAACATTTAAATGTCTTGGAATGGCCTAGTCAAAGCCCAGACCTCAATCCAATTGAGAATCTGTGGTATGACTTAAAGATTGCTGTACACCAGCGGAACCCATCCAACTTGAAGGAGCAGGAGCAGTTTTGCCTTGAAGAATGGGCAAAAATCCCAGTGGCTAGATGTGCCAAGTTTATAGAGACATACCCCAAGAGACTTGCAGATGTAATTGCTGCAAAAGGTGGCTCTACAAAGTATTGACTTTCGGGGGGTGAATAGTTATGCTCAAGTTTTCAGTTTTTTAGTCTTATTTCTTGTTTGTTTCACAATAAAAAATATTTTGCATCTTCAAAGTGGTAGGCATGTTGTGTAAATCAAATGGTACAAACCCCCCAAAATCCATTTTATTTACAGGTTGTAAGACAACAAAATAGGAACAATGCCAAGGGGGGTGAATACTTTCGCAAGCCACTGTAAACTGTGGGATAGAGAGATAGATCGGGGAAAGGAAGAGGAGGGAGATGAGTGAAAGGGAAAGCTTGATTAAAGTTTCTCTCTATCCTCTCTCCCCCTCCCCAGTAGGGAACTCTGGCAGAGCCGTATGCAGCCCAGTGGCTCTCCTGCTCAGGGAAAACATGCCACTGAGACACAGGCTGAGATAGCTACAGAGCCATTATTCACTCGTATAGAGAACAACGTTCTAACACGCACACACATGCACACACACACATACACACCGTCACAGAGTGTGTGAGGGAGAGACTAATCGCCTCTCTAATAGAAACTTCATTAGCACAGTTCTGTCCCTCCGAGCCATCTCTGACACGCCGTGCTGCCCCAGAGTCAGCAGTCAGCCACGGAGACAGACAGACAGATAGACAGTGTGTTAGAGTGGATGGGCAGGGAGGACGTAACAGACCGCAGGGATCTGGGTTCATATCAACTCTATTAAACCTGCACTTCTCTGATAATCACTCAGTTAATGACTGTCTGAAGGAGAGAGAAAATGGACTCATTTCTGAAAGCCTTGTATTCCCACTCCCAGACTGCAAACCAACCGCTATATATCCTGTCTCTTGCCATAGGAAATATATGAATATATATTTTCTGGTTTTATGCACATCTTTCAAAATGCACAAATGCATAATTTTTTGTTTCTATGTACCTCTTTACTTTGAAATGCTAATTGTGTTGTGCTGAATGGTGTTGTCGAATGAATGTGGTGTGTATGTGTGCACAGACTGCACAGATGAAGAGAGAGAGAGGAGAGAGAAAGAAAGAGAGAGATAGAATATCACCATGTAATGGGTTAGTGACAGTATCTTGGAGTGAGTTGGAGACTTGGAGCCAGATTATATGACACATGACAGACTGTGGGTGGCCACAAGACTGCTTAGAGTGCACACACACACACACACACACACACACACACACACACACACACACAGATCCTCCTGCTGACAGTGAGGTGTGATGATGAGGTCATGGAGTCAGAGTGAGGTCACTGAGGCAGCCGTGCTCCTGTATGTCCTGCTCAGCAGTGTGTGTGTGTTCTCCCTTACCCTGACCTCAGCTGCTCAGCTCAATCAGCTGGGATACAGTCCAGAGTGTAATAGAGAGCCGCTTCAGAGCGACACACACACCTGTTACTATGCTGTAATTGAGACCAGCCCTAAACTGAGGAACAGATAAATAAGAGAAGAGCTGTTTGTGCTGTGTTGTGTAAGTGTGTGTTTGAAAGTGGAGAAAGTGTGTGTTTCAGCAGGGTAGCCACAAGCGTGTCCTCACAGAGCACAGAAAAGCGAGCAAGGCAATGATATCAACCACAGAGAAAATCTTAATCTGTTAATAATGTATTATTCATCATATATTATGTAGATAATGTATTAACATTCAATATTAACAGTATTTGTGTATTTGAACTAGACTTGTACATGTAGCCTACTTCTGCTAGCGCTTGGATGAATAATATTTCAAATATATATGACCACATCAAATGAAAAGCCTTCAAAGTAAATGGCTTGGGTGTGTTGAGCTACAGTACAGCTGAGCTGTTTTACAGTGAGAAGAAGAGCTATCAGATCCAACTATATCACTCTCGCACTCTCTCTCCTTCTCTCTCTACATATGACTGAACTCACTAAACACACACACACAATCAGCAGGCATGTAGCGTCTTGTCAGTGGACTGTAGCCCATGTCAGAGCTGGGGAAGACAAGCTGTGCTTTGGGTTTTCTACTGCTATTTACATTGTCCTTAGTTTGGTTAGCGAGAGAGGACACAGAACTGTGTAAACAATCATTCAAAACACTCAGCTGTGAATTCCCTAAGAGTTGTGTTTGGGAGTCACGCTTGTGTGGGTGTGTGTGTGTGTGTGTGTGTATGTACGTACTTGCTGGAACAAGTACATCTGATTACAGAGAGAGAGAGAGAGAGAGAGTGAGGAAGCGAGAGAGAGAGAGAGGGAGAGGAAGAGGGAGAGAGAGGAGAGGAGGGGAGAGGAGATGAGATCGAGAAGGAGAGATAGGAGGAGAGAGAGGAGAGATAGCGATAGTAGAGCGCGGTGTTGGGGAGGGGATGGGAGGGATTTGTAGGAGGCAGAGAGCTTATTGAGTAGCGGATGAGGAGTATGTTTATCTGTGATGATTTTGTCTTGTTTCTCTAGCGTCTCTCTGTTCGTCTTTGAATTCTCTCTCGTCGCGTCTACCTCTCTCCGCTCCTCCTCTCTTACCGTCGTGCAGCTCCATTGCTCGCGTTCTATGTTAGCATTTCTGCTTCTCTTATCCGTTTCTATTCTTTTTCTAGTCTTTCTCTTGGCCTTTCCGGAGTTTCTGCTTGACTCGTTGTCGCTATGCATCGATCGGTTTACCTCTTCTCTCGTCTCTCTCTCCTCTCTCTCGCCATCCTCTGCTCTGCCGCTACCTCTGTCTCTCTCCGTTTTATCCCTTCTTCGTCCCTTCTCCCGTCTCGCTCCGAGTACTCTGTCTCTCATTTATTTCTACAGCGAATGACAGATGAGAAGAGAGGGAGGGTAGTACTCTTATAATCAGTGCACATTAAAGCCACCAGCCTCCAGTTCTTCACCTCCTTAGGGTCATCCTTTTTTGGCAACAGGGTGAGGACAGCCCTTCTACAGCTTATCGGTAGTCAAAAAGTCAACGGGAAACCCATCAATGCCTGGTGCTCTTCCATTTTCCATGTCTTTAAATGCAGTGGATAGCTCCTGCAAAGACAATGGTTTCTGTAGCTCAACCTGAGCTTCTGCAGCCACCTGTGGGAGCCCATCAAGGAACTGCTGTATCACTGTTTTATCCTCTTTGTACTCACACTTGTAGAGCTCAGCATATAACTCTACTGCCCTTTTCCTAATTTCACTAGGGCTAGTGAGCTCTTGTCCAACGGCTGATTTGAGGCAATAAATAATTCTTCTTTGCACATTCTTTTTCTCTAAACCAAAGAAAAATGTTGATGAGGCATCCATTTCAGAGATTCCCTGGAACTTACTTCTCAACAATGCCCCCTGTGCTCTAATACCCAGCAGGTCTGCCAATGCAGCTTTTTTTCTCCTGAGGGCCTGAGTATGGCCTCGATCTCCTGTGGTTTCAACTAACTTCAGGAGTTCTACTAGTTTCAGATTCTAGGGCTTCCATTGATCTGGTGATGTCTCTAGTAACATTCATCGTGTATTGATTACAGAATTGTTGAATCTGTATTTTCACTATATCCCACGACTGTTGAAGGGATACAAAACTGGCCTGTTGAGACTTCCACTTCTCCCAGAAAAAACTAAAACATTCTCTGAAGTGAACATCACTCAATAAAGTTATATTAAAATGCCAGTATGCGCTTTTGGGTTTTACAGCATTGATGAACTCCACCTCTGTTATTAAACAATGATCAGAAAATCCCACTGGGGTTATCACACTTGATTTACAGACCTGATTGATGCTCAAAACAATAAAACCCATCTAACCTGGCCATAGAGATGATGTTCTCTCTCACTTGGGCCCATGTATGTTGTCTCGTGCCTCCATGTTGGCTCCGCCAAATATCACACAGTTCATGTGTTACAATAAAACGTTTTAGAAAATTCCTTGAGGCTATATGAGGTTCTTTGTGGTTTCTATCTAAATCACTGGCTGTATAGTTAAAATCTCCAGCAAGAAATCAATAATCTTCCATCTTACATTTCTCAATGGTGTTTGATAATGTCTCTAAGAAACCTACCCTCTCAACTGCCACAACTGGGGCATATACATTTATCAAACACATAGTGATGTTTTCATACCTCGCTCTAACTTTTAATAACCTCCCCTCAACCACCTCTTCAACCTCATATGACAAAGGCAAAAGCCCTTTTGAGAACAGGATAGCTACACCCCCACTTTTTGGGGTTTTGTTACTACACACCACTCCCCCCCCCCACTCCTGTTGCCACATAACTTCATTTTCAATATTATTATGCGTTTCTTGTAGAAAACATGTCACTTCCCTTTCTCTTCATTAACTCATACACTACAGCTCTTTTATAATGTCTCTCGCCCTATTTACGTTTAAAGAAGAAATCTTAAAACTGCTCACGGCTGAAGGAAAAAAATACAGAGGAAAACACATCTCTTTACAGAGTTAAGGCTGCGACTGAACTCTTTCATTTCCATCAGAATTTAACTCACTGATCACTCTCGTGACAACTTTCTTAAGTCTAGCGATTTCAGGGCTTGTCAAACCTCCCCCCGTTACTTTTGACATCAGAAACTTTGCTGACTCAATAAACAATCCACTTTCAGGAAAAAAATCTGTGACATTATAATACTGCATATACTTCTTCCCTTTTGTCATTTTCAGAAATTGATGTACCTTCTCAAGCCCATACCTCACTTCCACTACATTTTTCTCGCTATTTTGTTGTGATGCATCAGATGACTCACTCTCGCTATCCTCCCCAGAGGAAAACTCCACCATCTCTACAACCTGTTTATCCTCAACTCATTTATCAATCTCTACCTTCCTCTTAGAATTAGAACCTTCACCACTCCTTACATTTTTCCTCTTACTCCTTGGTACTTTGAAAACAGCTGCTTCATTTTCTATTGTTTCAGTCTCTTCTTGAACTTCAATTTCCTTTTCTAGTACCGACTCAGCGACCCCAATTGCAGTCTCACCAACTGTTTCCCCTCCCTCTTTGTTCTGATCTACCCTAATTGCCTCCATATCCACACTTCTTTCCGTTCTTTTCCAACCACATCTGCCCACCTTCTCCCTTCCCCTGAACCCTTAGTATGTTCATCCCTTCATGGTGGTGCATTAGCTGCACCAGCGCTACAACTACTACCAGGCTCTGCACTCTCATTCTCAGGACAAAACCGTACCAAATGTCCCTCTCTTCCACAGCCAAAACATTTAATTGATTCAGTAGAAGCATAGAACACATAATCAAATCCGTCAATCTTAAAACTGAATGCTAAATTCAGTTCGTCAGTATAATTCTTTAAAATCATATGCACTTGTCTCCTATGAGACACGACATGTTTCAGCAAAGGAGATTTGCATCCAAAAGGATTATTTTTTTATTGTGGATCAATTTTACCATGATGAGCTAACTCTCACTCCAACACTTATTTTCTAACAAATGGTGGCACGTTACAAAGTATAACTTTCTTTGCCAGATTCATTTGATTTATTTTTATTTTTATTTAACCAGGTAAGCCAGTTGAGAACAAGTTCTCATTTACAACTGCGACCTGGCCAAGATAAAGCAAAGTAGTGCGATAAAAGCAACAACACAGAGTTACATATGGGGTAAACAAAACATAAAGTCAAAAATACAACAGAAAATATATATACAGTGTGTGCGAATGTAGTAAATTATGGAGGTAA